GCTTTGTCATGCGAGCTGATCCGTGCTGGTCGCTGAGGAAATACATCAACTTCGCGCTGTGGATTGCCGGATTGGCTTTCACCGTGGACGAAACGGAGTCCAGCCCGGGGTCGTCACATGTGGTTGCCGCAAGCTCGCCGGACGCTCCTTCATCGAATCCGCCGGCCGCCGCTCACTCTAGCCTGCCGCCTCTGCTCACTGTAGGCCGCCGCCGCTCACTCTAGCCCCGCCTCCGGCCTCCGCTCATTCTAGCCTGCCGTGTGTGACGCTGTGTGTTTCGTTGTGAAAGTGAAACTACTTTGTTTGGCCTTCCAAAAGAGGACACGACTAGAAATCAGTGGTTAAGTTGTATTTACAACACTGTTCCAGAACAGTTCAACCCAAATATTCAGATGTGTGCAGCACATTTTATGGAGGACTGTTTCCTGATCCTGGGAGAGTAGACTACAATGCCGGCTGTTCTGACTCACAGACTGTAAGTACGTTTTTTATATTTAAAGAATTTGCCACTGACGATTCAAATGCGAGTTTTGAGCAGTGTAGAGTAGCGCTTGTTGTTTGTCATTTCTCCGATCACAAATGCAGACATGGTTTTATATTTACGCGGCGCAATGCAACGCAACACGTAAAAAGACAGTATAAGTCATTATAATCCGTAATTATGTCCCCACTGGTTGCAACAAATGCCTCGTTTATAATGGGTTTTAATATTTTTGTCTTGTCGCTCCGGGACACGGCCTTACAGTTAAACTTTAACTTTAAAATAAAGTGAGACCAAAATAGATAATGAATAAAGCCTAATTGTAGACTACTGTAAGACTGGAAATATATGTTCTTGCCCCTAAAATACATTTTGAAATATAATTTGGTATATGAAGGTTGAAACTAAATATACTTCCAATTTTAAAAATATTTCATTTAGCCTCACTGTTAACACTGCTTATTTATTGACAAATTGATTGATTGATTTATTGATTGATTGATTGATTGATGGGGTTAACTTAATATTTTCTGGCCATTACATTTGTAATTTCCTAATTGTGATTTTTATTTTTTTTTGTGTCCTAGCTATAGTAGCAGAACTACCGCAGGTGAAGTTCATCACATTAACTGTGTGCATGTTCCACTAACATCTGACAATAACAAGGTGTCTAGATAATTTTTTTTTATTTATGTCTGTGTCATTTGTGTCATTTATGTGGTCGTTCCTTCTGGATTTGGCAGAGACGTGACCAATAAAATGGAGAAAAACAAAGAATCTCCTATCGTCTCCAAAACACATGCGCACACACACACACACACACACACACACACAGACACAGAAAGACAGACATCCTGCAGAGGTGTAAATAGGCTGTAGGTGTTGTTTCTCAGATGGATGATGAGAAAATGGCTTATTTTGTCTCTGGGGCTCCATTTGTTTTTTTTCCCCCTAATAATCTAAACATAATGTGCGTTTATTTCTGTTCTTACGTGAATAGGCTACTGAGAAGACAACACAAGCTCAAACATGTTGCACATAACAGTTTGTTTGGATAGAAAATTCAAAAACGTGAAGACTCTTTGAGACCCATCTAAACAAACACCTGATCCATATGCACTGAGGTCCGACTCATATCTGATACGATTACCGTTTCACTCTTTGCCTTTTTCTCATGAAAGTTCTGTGGGATAATTGAACAGAAGTCTGGATGGTACAATACATTGCAAATCCTGCTAAATTTATGGTAAAATAGTCAGCTGGGATTGCCAGAGAAATAATAATTCATACTTTTAAATCAGATTCCAGTCTTGTTAAACCTAATATTATTTTTCACGATTTTACAATTAACCAATTACCAGTTAAAATTACTGAATAGTTCATAAATTATAACACTGAACTCAGATGTCTTCTTCACTAAGTAAACCCAAATCAACAAGCTCTCTATGCAGAGAAAACATTAAGTAGATATTTGAGGTGTCTGACAGATGTTCCCTGAGAGGAACAATGTCTTACAATCCATTACTGTCAACCATCTATAGAAGTTTATTATCCCTCTCCAGTCATTGTAGACGCATGAACAACATTCAGAACAACATTCAGGCAACATGATAGGTGTTTTTAAAGAGACTGTACAAATGTTTTCAAAGTTCTCCACTCTGTTGGGAACACTCACAACTGATTATAAAAGTTAGTATTATGTGTTAGAACCCACACAGTTCAAAGTTTTATGAGTCATATACTGTCTCTGCTAAATGTTTAGCCCTGAAATGTACTACACTGTGCAGTAAGTATAGGATATGTTAGGGTGACCATACGTGCCATTTTTCCAGGACGCGTCCTGGCCAGGATTTCTATAATGCCTAACATATCTAGGTTTTGGCTTTGTTTGCATGTGCAGACCGATCGATGTATGACATCAAAGTACCATACAGACGGTTATGCTTTCGAAACGCTCTCGAGGTACTTTGATGTCAAACACTGATCCGTCTGAGCCGCACTGCTTTTAAGTCGAACACACCTAATATGTACGCGTAATTGCATCGCTTTGACCGTAGATCCCACCTTCTCACACACCATGATTGGTCCATTATGTACAATGCTTGCATGTTATTGGTCAAACTACTTTTCGATCATTACCTTCAGCAAGCATGAAAACAGGAAAACAAAGCCAAAACAAATCCTGGCCAGGACCCGTCTGGGAAAAATGGCACGTATGGTCACCCTAGGATATGTGTATTAAATATCAAAGCAAAGTAGTATGTAAAAGTAAAAGTACTACATACTACAAATACTACATATAGCAGTAATTGTTTGAATGGAGGTATGCTCTTCTAAACGTAGCTTTAATAGCTTTTCAACGCTGCCCATGTTGCTAATGAGCAAACAGGTCCAAGCAGGATACATTAGCAATCAATGATGTTCAGACAGGGCGGTAGCTCTGTCCTTGTGCCCTACCGAGGAGTATAACCCTTCTCAGTAGCCTTTCACATGCAATTAAGCTGTTTGTTTTACATGCATTTATGGGTCCTGCAGGTCTGACAGACACAGGGCAGACCCCGCTCCCTATTGGGAACCATCAGCCGTACAGCCAATTAATATTCAATAGGCCTTCTGGTAGAGCTTATAGTCACATAACCTGCTCAGAGAGCAGCTGCTGAAGGGGGGATGCCTCCGAGAATCGCAGGTTTGTGGCGTGAACAAGCTGTGACAATGTCAACACTATTTGTCTTCCTATACGATGTGATAAACTGGAAAGGAAGAGTTGTTGTGTGTGGGTTTTCTCACACAGGTTCATGGTTTAGCCTGATGGAGTTTCTTTGATTTACTCAGCAGTGCATATGAGTTGAGCAATAATGCAATCACAACATAGTATAGTAAAACCATTGGAACAAGTTTTGGATTGTTAGTAAACCTTGGAAAATGCCAGAATTGGAAAAAAACAAAAAAAAAACATTCGTCACATTTTATATTAGGTGGCCTTAACTACTATGCACTTACATCAAAAAATAAATACAATGTAGTTATTGTGTTCATATTGTATTGCAAAACACTTTTGCTGCTATTGAGGTGGGATGCGGGTAAGGTTAGGGACAGGTTTGGTGGTATGGGTAGGCTTAAGGGTGGTTTAAGGAGTAAGGGATGGGTCAACAGTATAATTATAAATGTAATTACAGAAATTAATTACAGATGTAATTACATATAGGTATTTTTACAAATATAAAGTACAATGTAAAAACATGTATGTACACAATAAGTGCATTGCACCAAATGATTAATTTAAATGTAAGTACATAATAGTTAAGGCCACCTAATATAAAGTGGGACCAAACATTCCTATTTCCCTATTGGCGGCCCTTCAAAAACTGCAAGCCACTATACACTACAGTTCAAAAATTTGGGTTCATTAAGATTTTTTTGTTTTTTTTATTTACGTAACAACCATTGAACCATACGTAACTGCCATTAAATTGAATGGAAATGCTAACAGATATCTTTATTCAGGAATTATATAGGAAAATAGGCTTTTGAATACCTTCAACTGCATTATCTGTTATATTTAATTTTAAATAGATATAAATTCCAGGAATTATTCACAGCCAGTGATTCATTCAAAATCCATTATGTAGAAATGAATTTATGTTATGCCCCCTCTGTTTTTATCAATCCCACTTTATATCTGTAATACCTAACATTAAACACTTGGTATTAAGCAAATCAAAGTATAACACATTGAATCAATCATTTTAACTCTGCAATATATTTTAATAATGTATGCCTCTTCAAGTAGAGATACTGTAATGAAAAATAGGAGCCATATTCTTTGTGCTTTGAAGAGAGCAAGTTAAAATACAAAAAAAGAAAAGCATAACACAGGCCCCTCTAAGCTCCTTCTCGCTTGACCGACCTTGAATGAAGCCTCTGATGAGAAGAAAAGCTATTTTCACTTACCTCACCATGCAGACGTGCCAGTCCTGGAGGCCTGTGATCTTCACTGCTCAAGCTGGGCTGTTTTCACCTGCCTCTATTTTCCAGTGGATTTGCAACCATAAAACACTGTTCAATTAATATTGTCCCTTCACATTCACACCCAGGTTTGTGTTGTATTAGAGAGCGGGTATTACAGCAGGCATGGTGGTACTTAACATGGAAAGGTGTGAAAACAGGTGTAAGACTGGTGTGTTTAGTGTAGTCGTATGTCTCCTTTGAGTTTGATTATTATCGGTGTATTATTCACAATGCAGTGATATTTAGGTGTGCTGACTGTGAAATAGTGATTCGGCAATAATGTTAGCAGAGGAAAGTGCACAGAAAGCTGACCATTATTGCAGAATACATACTTAATGTGAAGTGGAGAGGTTTGGTATCACTTTGAAGGGGTTCATGTCGTGATAATGACCATCTGACTACACATTATCCGTATTATTAATGAACACATAGATAGCAAATATAGATTTACGTGAGAAGAGAACACGGAGTAATACAAGGAACATGAAACTAAACACTCTCACTTTATACTGTTATAAACATTTCAATTGTTCAACATGCATTGCCGTGTTAATTGAATGTTGTCACCTGACCCACATTTACCATGGTAAGGGCTCAAGCAGTGGCATGTAGATGAAGAGAATCAAGCGTAGAAAGAAACTAAAGACTGTGTTCCAGTGCATGACATCATAATAGTAATAGAATGTTCAGATGCAAATGAACATGGCTGCAGCTCAATGTGTCCATTTTACATCATTAGAATGTTTCACACGGCCTACTGTTGTACAATCCCGATAAAGCACAAGCATGTAAGAGTGCACGTCCCTAATTAAATGGTCATCTCCCTCAGTTCTTAATATAGTGTGTGCTGCATCAATACCTTCTTTTAAGCCTATTGTGATGTTGTTGTGTATGACCTCAGAGCTCCTAAGTGGCAAAACTAGACATTAATTCCTCTCACAAAAATTCAAGCATAGAAAGAAACATAGAAGACCAGTATCAGAAATACAGTATTTATAGTGTAAACAAACATAAACATTCTGATTTTATATCGTAACTAAACATTTGGGTTATTGAATTTATCTTGTTAATTTGCTGTTGTCAAATTGCCCACATTTACTATGGTAAGGGCTCAAGCAGTGGTACATAGATAAAGTTAATTATTTAGATTTTCACGACAATGACTGTACTAAAAAGTGTTTCCTTTGCATTTTTGAAAAGTTTTGCGTATAATGTTGTCAAAACAATGCCAGTTCACATAGATCCATGAAAACAACTAAAAGCGCTGTAGTAGGCATTCTAATAAGCCAGTAGTTGGCGATGTCACTTTGCAAAGAATGCTGTTGTTGTTTAAATGAATGGCCAAAGCATATAAAAAAAAATCTGGTTTTAGTAGAAAACGATGCTGTGTGAACACCCGCTTATTTCTGCATTCAAAAGTAAGAATGACTACAAGATAGAGGCTTTTTTTTTTCATTGATGTGAAAAAGGTGAAGCATAAATGTCTTCGAGGTCCTTGACTTGTCTCTTGCAAATACTTTTAAAATGTACATGCACAGCTATAAAAATGGACTGCGAAGAGAGAAAGTTGTAAAACCAGAGAGGATGTTGACGTACAAAGTATAACTCCCGGTGTCCTAGTCCTCAGTGCGCCGGCTATTTACAACCTTGCGGCCAGATCTATCACATCATTTGTGCAGCATCTCGGAGGCCCTCATCCCTGCAGACCCAAACTTTGAACCTCTGAGTCCCACCCTCCCTTTTCCGGCCGCCCCATTGTTGCCGTCTTGGAAAACCATCAGCTGACAGATTTACTGGTCTGAGCATTAGCTGAACTCAGGAGAGGGTAGAGCCTCATAGAGTTACACTCCAAAACTGTTCACCTCCTCTTTGGAAGCTCAATAATTTACTGTACGGGCACCTCTGTGAACGCCGCAGTAAATGTACTGTTACTGTTAAAGGAGATATGAATCGGACAGCTGCTCTGAGCAGATTCATTGCAGCACAGTCACCCTAATGACTCTGTTTGATGATATATGACAAAGACAGATTGAACTCCTGTTTTTAAGACATCCTGAGAACTTGATTTTCTCTCCTGCTCCAATCATGGTGGGTCTGTGAAAACCATCTTGTTCTGTACCTCTGTGTTAGTTTTTCTTTGCTTTCCAGACATTGCGTTTTACACATTGATGGGGAATGTTGGGATTACATGTACTGTATGTAATATTGCTGGAGTATACAGTATTCTCATAATACACTTAAACAGTACAGTGTTTGAGTTCCATGCTAATGGTATAAGCATATGATATTTCTATTCCAAATAAATGCACCTTTTTTTAACTTTCTATTCATCAGTGTATCCAGAAAAAAAAAACTTTCATTATGTTTTGACAAAAATATGAAGCAGCACAACTGTTTTCACCTGTGATAATAGAAAATGTTTCTTCAGTACTAATCATTTGAATGATTTCTAAAGGATTATGTGACACTGAAGACTGGAGTAATGATGCTGAAAATTCAGCATTGCACCACAGGAATAAATACATTTTGCAATACATTAAAATCGAAAACAGTTCTTTACATTTTTTTCTAACTTTTTTTTTTTTTTTTTAAGTTGATTTACTTAAGCCTCTCATGGTTTTATTTAACATCCATTTTATCAGTCGGTCAGTAATGTTGTTTCATGAGGAAACCATTTCATTTCTGCTCCAACCTCCTCGTCTTCAGCTAAGACATAAATAAAATGCATTACGCAAAGGCCTGGATAACAGTATTGAGAGCTTTGATTAAAATTCATAGGAGTTGATTTGCCAATTCAGTCTTTGAGGGAATAATGGGAAATTAATGTTTAATCCTATTAAGATAAGGATGTGTTCTTGTACGCATCTCTATCTGCATCTCCACAGCGACCATCCACCATAAATTGAATTCCTTCTATGACTGCAGAAGTCTCTGGCTTCCCTCAAGTCATTACCAAACCCATGACCAGCTCAAAACATACAATATTGTTATGATAGGGTGCTTATCAGATTTCCAAATGGAAATCATGTGTGAACTAAATCACTCTGAATAACAGCTCAGATGGTATTAAAAGGATTTCGCCTGACAGCGATAAGTAAAGGCAGAAATATGTTTAGATGTCTGCCCTCGGTGATATCATCCACATTACATCAAAACAGCTTCTATGATGTTGAAACGGGAATATATCACAGATCAAGGCAGGACATGTTCACATAAGTCTGTAAGTCCCATGTGGCTGAAGTGAGAGAAGTTGTTTTGTCAGTCCCTCGGCTTCAGAAGGTGAAAAACAGTCAACAGCAATTAACTAAACTCTAACGAGTGTTAAACAGCTTAAACAAACATTTCATTCAAATGACCTAGAATACATGTACTGTAGATCATTGGTTAGCTGTGGGGATCTTATGGAAGAATAATATCACATTTCTCAGCTTGGCCTCAGTTATTTGATCATGAAATAGCTTCATTATATTTAAATAGGTTTTAAAAATAAATATCCAATTTTCCTGGGCTCCTGAGTCATTGGTCGCATGGAATTTACGACTCAGGTGATTGGCCCAAAAAGCAAATGTGTACAGAACTTAGTGCCCATAATTTGCATACCTCCAGCCGAGCAACTGCCATTGAGATGAATGGGAATGCTAACAAATAGCTTTCTCCAGGTATCTCGACCTCCTCAAAAATAACCTGTGAAGAGAATCTATGTATAAACGTTTCACTCCACTGCCAATGGCACGTTTCTGCATGCGTATCGTGACCGCTGTGTGCAATGACAGCAATCAATGAACAGCAAACCATCATCATTCCATAGAGGCTTTTATCTCTTCCCACACCACTTCCCACTCTCATTGTTCAACCTTCAGCCTAATCCATCAAGCTTGTGGCTTGGATCCCCTCTCTCTATCTGGAAATTTCTATTGCAATACAGCCCATAAAATTCAACAACAGTTCTTACCATCTCACAAAAGCATGGCTGAAGATCCCACCCTGTAATTAAATAGTGAACTGGGAAATTTATTAGCCCCTTTAGACACAGTAGTTTCATACATAATGAAGCATATCCCAAAACCTAAGTGAAGGACTCTCTGGAATGTTGTAAATTAAATAATGAAGGATAACAATGTGCTGCAACTGTGGAATAGTCTGATTAATTGCAGTAGACATAATGCGTTTTCATAGATGAATCTGGATAAGTACTTGAAAGTTATCCGGTTTATATCAAAATTATTGCACATATGCATGTAATGCATGAAGGATGTTGGTAAGTCTTGATTATAGAATGGACACTTTAAACAGACAGCACACATTGTCTGTCATTTTCTGTCTTCTGTAGTGTAAATGAAGTCACCTTATTTTACATGTTACACAACTCTTGTTAGACGACTGCAGTGGATGAATACAAAGCCGGAATAATAAACCCTTTAAGCAGATTTTCTAAAAACATCCAAAGATATGAAAAACCAGAAATGGCTTGTTCTGAGATCTTGTGAGCCATAATTGAGTGTCTGTCAGATGAGAATGCTGAATTGCTGGCGTGCAGTCAGTGAGAGAGATCACTCTGATTGGCTGTTCAGAATAGCGAGCCAGTGAATGAGAAGAAAAGTAAAAAAGGCACACCCAGATCCCAGCTAACCGAAATATGTTCTAAGAATGTTTTGCTAATGTTCCCATTAAGTTATGAAAGCATTATTTCTGAATGTTTTCAGAATGTTCAAAATTGAATTTTTAAATAATGTTATTTATTGGTTATGTTAGAAAAAAAAACTGGTCACACTTTATTTTAAGGTCCAGTGCTCGCTATTAACAAACCATTAACTATGACTTTTGCCTCAATAACCTCCTTTTTGCTGCTTATTAATAGTTAGTACGGTAGTTGTTAAGTTTAGGTATTAGGGATGTAGAATATGGTTATGCAGATTATATGCTTTAATTATAAGTACTAATAAACAGCCAATATGTTAATAATAGGCATGCTAATAAGCAACTAGTTAATAGTGAGAATTAGTCCCTATACTAAAGTGTTACCAAAAAACTTTAAGGGAATGCTCAGTTTTATAATTGGTAAACATTATGGGAACATTAATTTTGAATGTTCTCTGAACAATCTGAAAGAATGAAGTACTTTTAAAAAAACATTAGATTAATGTCCAACTAAAATGTTTCAAACATATTCCATGACCAGTGTTTTTGTGCTAACATTTTGAGAACATAATTAAAAATCAGATAACATTGTCACAAGAAAGTTTGTTCCTAACATTGAGAGAACCTTGACAGAACATTTCTGAAAATGTTCCCTGTTAGCTTATCTTCATCTTATCTGAGCATTCCAATATACAAATATTTTCAGAATGACAGGGCCGCCTGGAATGAAGAAAGTGAAGACCAAGTGATCACCATGGTTTATGTTCAAAATTGTAAGTGTTGCTTTGTTTACGGTTTGTATATCCACAGTCTTAGTTTCGGTTTCCCC